CATCAGCGACGTATCGGCAAACAAGATCGTTAAATTCCGCAAACACCGAAGCGAAACGAGCACGCGACGAAGCGGGATAACAAGGCTACGAAGCCCGATGAACCGCCACGTAAACAATGGAATGGATCCACTCACAGTGCGGAATTCAAGCCAACGGGTTGATTATGCAATGAGTCATTCAACAATACACGACCGGACGAATCGTGATCCGAATCGAAATCAAAAGCTCGACTTGAACTCAGAAGTGGACTACTGGCCTAATCAAAGGAATCGGATCAACAAATCGAATCTGAACAAGTCAACCACAACCGAGTCGTAAGTCTAGAAATCAATCACGAATAATCGAACCGCGAATGAAAAGAATGCCGAACCACGAAAGCGAACACAAGCCCAAACCCCGGGGACTCGCTTTGAAGCCTGAGCCACCCCAAGGTGGCTCGCCCAAGCCAGCCACCCTGAGGTGGCTCGGTAGCCGAGGCGCATCCCCATGGGTGGCCTTCGGCCAAGGCCGAGCCACGCTCATGGGTGGCTGCGGCCAAAGGCCGAGGGCCAACCTCAGGGTGGCTGGCCCAAAAGCCGAGCCACCCTGAGGTGGCTTCGGCCAAAGGCGAGCAACCCGAGGGTGATCGGCTAAGGCCGAGCCACCCTGAGGTGGCTCGGGCTCTGGCAGAGCCACCCATGGGTGGCTCGGCGCCATGGCCGAGCCACCCATGGGTGGCTAGGCCCTGTTTCGTGCCCAAGGCACAGTGTTCGAGTGGCCTATAAATAGGCCTTGTGCTGCATTTGTTTGAGGGGTTGGAAATTTTGGGAGAGAGGCGAAGCCACCATGCTGGATTGAAGCACTCTTCAGATCTAAAAAAGATCACAACTTTGAAGCTGGAGACTTGGAACTTTCAGATCAGGTGCTCGGCGATCACCAACAGCCAAAATAAGGCAGGAGTGTCGGGGAGAGGGGATTTGGATTTTGGAAATCTACACGATCATCACTCCGGATCTAAGCTTGGTCTTAGATCCCGAGATTCGATGCGTTGTTTCCTCGGTGAAACAATCCCTCCCGGCTTATTATTCCCTTGGTGGAATATTACAGGCCGTCATATCGTGTAGGATACCGACGGCGGATCGAGAATCACGCGGTGGTCGCACGGCAAATAACCCCCGACCGCAGGCCAGAAGAACCCACCAAAGGAGCGAACGCACAACAGGAGGCTCGCGATTGAGTTCGATCAAATAGGAAAATTGTAATCTTTACTTTGTTTTCTTTGATTTTTCATTGTAACCGATGCTTATAAAAAGACGCGGGATCCTTTGTAACGCATAAAGTTGTTAACTGAGATACAATGATAT